CGAAAAACTTTACCTCTGACCATGGAAGTTGAGGTAAACAACTAAGTCTGTTGCCAAGCTTCACTAGTTTTTGGAGCTAGAAAGTTTTGGCAAAGTATGAGAAGAGTACCAGTATCCCCATTAACTTGTTCTTCTTCCACGCCATCTAACTGTTCTTCATCATCGTCATAAATTGGTTCCTCTATGATTTCTCTTCATTGGCCAATAACCCACGAAGACCATTGTTAGGACACACCATTTGTATATGACAACGTTCATCGCAGGTAAGACAACAGATCGCATTGGAACGAGAAAGACGTGGTTTGGTTTCTGTACTGGGTTATGTTGGTCCAGATTAACCCGAGGTCATGTTGCTGTATCGCATCCTATAGTGGATTTCGTATCGCTGGCGGTAGATGTTATGTTTCGAAGGCGTGAATTTCCTGACCATTGGTTGGCACTGAGGCGGGTTTGTTGTTCGACTAACAAAGCGTGTTGGCGTGCTTCGGCGACTGAACCCGGATCAAATTGATCGAGCATATTCTGAAGCTGTGACCGCAAAACTGCAATAAACGGGCTACAAGCTGGTCATCTGAGTTGTTAACCTCTACTCATGTGAACATCTGATAGAACTCATTAGCATATTCCTTTATTGAGCGCGAACCCTGACGTATGTTATAAAATTTATGGAAAAAATGTTCAAAATTATACGGAATAAAGATATTCTGCATATGTAGAGTACAAAGCTTAAGTTGATTCCACCAAGAGGCGGCATGACTGCAGCATCGAGTTTTCCACAAAAGGGACTTGTTTTTTTGTCCTGGTACATCTTTGAATTCCATGAATTCATCAAATGTTACAAACCAGTCAAGAAGGTCCTGTGGTTGTGATCCAGCGTGAAACTCTAGGATACCTGAAGTCCAACCTGTATCATAGTTTTGTCTTGGTTGCCGATCTCGACAATGACGCTGTTGCTGATTGTTAACAATGTCTCTGAATGGATTGTCTCCAATCGTAGTTGTCATTAACCTCGTTAAAGACAAGATTATGGTGGCAAAGATGGCCTTGATGTGGTGCTGCATTTGCGGCAAAGGTGGCCTGAACCCCAGCCTGAACTCCAGCTTGAATCGACTCGGCCAGTGTTCGGCAAAGGTTGTCGTGAAAGTTTTCTTGGAAATCTTCCAAGAATTGTTGAAATTGCGTCCAATTGTTAGTTGTTCGTGGTGGCATTGAAATCCTAGATCGAAACAACAAATCAAATCGTATTTAAAGTTTCTGATACCAGCTGACGGAGCGGAAGTATCCATTAGTAACCGATAATACGAAGGTAATGGTCAATTTTGAGAATGCTTGTTATCTTAACCTTCTTAAGTCTGTTAAATTCTTAGAAAATGCCCATAAATAAGGATTCAAGAGTTTTGTATAAAACCAAAGCTCTAATTTATAAAATCAATAATCAAAATTGTGACTCTCACAAACAAAGAGATCACATTATTATATGGACGTAAAGTCCTAAAACCGACATAGTAAAGGAAATCTAAACTTACTTAAAAAAAGAAAGCAAAGATAATTAGGAAAAGAAAACAAGAAAACAAAAGCACACTAGGTTAACAATGGATGCTACATCAGAAATCCCGCTTCCGAGAGCTTTGTCTGGTCCGCCGCAGCTTTGTTGGTCTCCTCACTATGCACAGCCATAGAAGGAGAGATAGTTCCAGGTTAAAGATGCAACCAGAAACCACTGTCAGCACCACCGAAATAGAAGAAAGAAAAGCCGAAGACGGAGCCCTCTCACACCACTGGGGGTGAGGCTGATGGTAGAGAAGCAAACGGTGAATTTTATTTCAAGAGAGAAGTTAGAAGAAAGTTTTAGAGAGAGATTATGTATATGTAATCTTATATATTAAAACAAAAGTCATAACCTTGATTCATATGTAATTTTTTTAAAAATGGACTATTCCTTAGAAAGATTATCAAGATTAACAAATGTTACATAATTTAGTGATAATCACTTTAAATATCTTTACTTTTCTATTTGAAATACAAATGCAATAAATCCAACCATATTTATTTGGCATCTTTTTAAATTGTAGGAAAATTGTATTTCTGTAAATCATTGCATTTAAATTCTAATTATCATAAACTGTTATTAAAATTATTATTTTATTTATAAATGAAAAATTTCAAATTATCGAAAATATTTTTTATTATATTTTAATGAGAGTAATAATATAAATTGATGGAGTTTTGAAAATACTTATTACAAAATTTAAATAGATTATGTTAGAAACAATACTGAAATTCTAATTCAAATATACAAAAATAATATATTATATATTTATCTATCTGTATTATTAAAACAAAGTCATGAGTTATTTCATGTATATTTTTTTATTTAGACCACTCTTCAAAACAATTATTAAATTTTACTTAATTAATTATAATATCACCCCATATATTTATCTTTTATTTGAAATACAAATATTTTTGCTGAAAATTAAAATTTATATAGATAGCACTATATATCCCTAAAACATAAAAAAAAAACTATATACTAGAGTTTTACCCACATAGTTTTTTCATTTTACAAATATAAAACTTTGATAGTATTATACAAAATTTAAATATATTATTTATTTTTAATGTTATATATTATATAACTCTATAACTTTGTTGTTTAAGTTTCTTATTCATCATTATTAATATATAGTAATTTGTTTTATATATTTTAATTTATACTAGAATAAGACCTGCGCATTGTGCATGAAGAATTTATATAAAATTACTTATAAATAAAGCTATATTATTGATTGAAGTAATATTTTGGTCTTTAAACAATTTTTTTTAAATTTTTTGTTAATTACATAATTTGTTTACTGATGAGATGATCTCATTTTTAAAAATGTTTTAGGTCAAAATATCACTTACCGCTAAGAACCTAACGTTTAGGTCAAAACTTTCAGGTCTATTTGGTTACAATGAAACTATGACAACTGAGTTTTATATCATGATAATTTTAAAATTAATTATGGTTATGAGAAGATTACATTCACGTGACAATCATATCTATCTACAATTTTTTTCTCATTTTATGTCTTTTTCATTTTGGTTATTGCTCGATATAAATATTGATTTTGAAGTTTATTTTCATTCGTTTGTTTGTTTTGGCCTGAGATTTAGAAAATGCTTAAAATTTAAAATAATTAAAGAGATACATACTTAAGGTAAGATCTGCATTTTTCTGCACATTAAGTATTTTATATTTATTATTTGTTTTATGTTTTTCTGCATATTAAGAAATAATAAAATAATAAGTATATATATTAAATAATTAAGAAATCAGTTACTAATATGTAATAACTTGGTGTGTTCATATAAATAAAACGATCACTCTTGTTTATGCGCAATTGGGGTGAATAAATCAAAATAATCAATCTTATCTATCGTATATGATATATAATTAAATATAAATTATATTAATATAGATATATAGCACAGTTTTAAGATGGATATTTATTAAGGTTTCAACTCATATGATTTTATGATTATTTTCTTATTTGTGTAACAAACAATTACACCAACGATTTTTTAATGTGAGATGTTTAGTAGTTTCAATAATTTATAATCATTTAAAAATGACAGATTTGAAAATTAAAATATTAAATATATGTTCAATGCAAATATCAAAATAGAATTATATATTTTCATACGATGTATAGTTTAATTTAAAAAATATGAAAAAAAAAATATATATATATATATATATATATATATTAACATAGAACCTATTAAAATAAAACTATATCTTCATATGGTCTTATTATAATTGTATCTTAATATAGAAATTTTTTTTATCTTGATCGTAAAAGCTTATATGAGACTTTTAACAGTTTTACTAATTTATACTCGTTTTGAAAAAAAAATTTAAATACAACATACACAAAACAATCTAGTTTTTAATTATATGATAAATGTAATTGTGTAATTTATTTTAATAATAAATAAAAAAAATAAAAAATGAGAAAAATTATACATATTGTTATCAAATCACATTAGGTAATTCTACAGGTTTTATTTAAGGAAAGTCTACGGAACAAGAAATATTTGATATATGCGAGCAACTATTTACCTGTGAAATATTATATTGCTAGAGAAAATAATTTTTTGATTATATTTTATATAAGGTACTCTAGAATCCTTCTAAACTGAAGTAGAATACATAGAGATCTGCCACGTATGATGGAGTTATTTTTTAATTAATACAAAATTAAGGTTACATCTTTTAAAATATTTCTCAATTAATATATATAGGGGATTCTTATTGATTGTTCTTACTTATTAATATATTTTTTTATTTTGATACATAAATTATAATATGAAATAATATAATATATAATCTTCTTTAATATAGATTTTGAGTTTTTGCAATTTTCATACAATACATTTTAACATTTATTTAGATATACTATAGATGAATATTTGTTAATAATAATTAATATTTTCATGTTATGTTTAAAAATGATACTTTAACATCTATCAATTTAGTATTTTACGAGATTTTATAAATAAATATGTTGTCATTTATTGAATTTTTTTTTAATAAATTATAAATAAAAAAATCTTCGGTTATATAGGTCGAGATCTAGTTTTAATGGTTTAGCATTCAATGATTCTTTTACTTCATTATAAATAAATATATTGTCATTTATTGATATTTTTTTTATAAATTATAAATAGAAAAAATCATCGGCTGTGTAGGTTGAGATTTAGTTTTAATGATTTAGCATTCAATGATTCTTTTACTTCATTATACACCTACTTTTCTTTTTCCAGTGATACGATAATAAACTGTCAAACTGATTCGAACACAAATTGGATCCAAAAAATACAGTTGGGAATTTACAACATTTATGGCTGCATTCAATTGAATTGATTGCGACGCATTTTCCCAATATACATCGATATAAAATACATTTAATTTAATATATAGTAACACATAAACAGATAAACGAAACACTCTCTCCTACATTATTTGTGAACCTTCTTTCCATGTTTCTCTGTTACCAGTCTTTTCGTTCCCTTCTAATAAGAACCTTCAGCTAATTCCTTTTTGAAATAAATAATATATACTCTAAAACCTAAAGGAAAATAATTTTCTTTTAAGTTTTCTTTAATATGACAAACGAAGCAGCTTTGAGATCGTCAATGGTAGGTCTTGCAGTGGTGATGGTGTTGGTATGGTTATCGACACAGTCTTTAAACAAGACGGTTGTTACTTATGCGATCGGTGTTTCTCTGATCGCTGGCATAGTTTTACCGGATTGGGACTTCTTTGATCGGAGTTTCTCCCGGTGGACCTATCCTGTTACAGCCGAGGAAAGAGCCGCCGCTCTCTCCCGCAAATCCCAACCTTCAAGGTTACTTTTATCTTCTTACATACAATTTTCAGACTAGGTTTTGCGTATATATGTTAAAGTTGTTAGATCTAGATGACCAAAAATGTTATTCTTGTGTTGTTTGTAATGTGTGTTTTTTTTTTTTTGAACTTAAGTAATGTGTGTTTTACGAATTAGGTTTACCAGTAATGAATATTTCTGCAATTATTAAGTTTATTCATGTGATAAATATAGTTTTTTAGTCTAATTTGTTATATATGATTTTTTTTTTCGAAACACTTTTTTTTTTTTGAAACACTTTGTTATATATGATTATATCTTTAAATTATAGCAGGTTTAGAGTGTACCCTATGCGGATGGTTGTATACGGAACGGTGTACGGATATGCAGTGTATAGGTGGTGGAGGTTCGTGACGAAATGAGCCATTTTGTTCCATCTTCCTTCTATATGTTCAGTGTTGATTAACATATTATGTTAGCAATTTTCATTTAAATAAAAATTAATTTGATTTTTGAATGATACATAACCTACTGAAACCAAACGAGAAAAACAAAATCCACTGTTGCATATTGGTGTCTGTAAAAGATAGTACAAAAATTGTAAAATATAATGGTGAAGTTGTACTGAAAAAATATGAAGCAAAATAAATAAACCGTAAACTATGATACTTTTGAGTTTTGTTTGTTAGAAAATCTTTGCGCAGATGAAAAAATAAAATTGACCACGTCGACGCAAGAGTTATTGTCTTTTTTTTTTTTTGTTAATACTCGTAATGTAATTTGAGTTCGAGTGTTGGAATAAGAAAGAATTACATTGGAAGACATTTTTAAGTTTTATATAACAGAATAAGGTACTTTTTTATAGTAAGGTACTTTACTGTAAGAACTTGTTTTTGATCCCAAAAACCAGTTATCTTCCAATTAACGTTCTCACTAACTAAACTAATATTTTAGCGGGAATCAACCTCCACCATTCATCTAAGTTACATATCAACGGATCAGATTAATTATGAGACCTAAGACAAGATTTATATCTTTCTTATTTCTCAACTTCCAAATCTTCTTTTGTACTTTTCAAATTGACAGTCCAGATTTATCCCTATAAATAAAGTAAAAATATTCATCATTTTTCCTTTTTTTTTTCCACCATTCTTCACATTTTTTTTTTCTCACCGACTATTTATCTTCGGAATTAACTTGTGATTTTTTTTGTGATTATATTGAAGGTTTGTGCTCTAACCCTTGCTAATAACTTGTATATCCATTAACCAAACTTACTTACCCAACAATCTAATTTTCTACATTTCTTTATCACAAGTCTCCCATGGCAGACCACTGTATGTTTTTTAGGTGAAACAAAAGTCAAGATTGTGTTAATTTTTTTTTAAAAAAAATTCAAGTATACGACCAAACCTCCTATATACACAAAATCAGATTCAATTTTGGGCTTTTTGCAGAATTGACCTGAAACTTGAAGTCAACCACAAAACTAACCTCCTTTTTTTTGGAATTTTATTTTGCCCAATTCACCCCACAAGTTCATATAATTCACGAAAATGCCATCAATTTTTTTTTTTTTTTTTTCGAAAATAACATATTTACTCTCTCACTCTCATCATCTTCAAGTAATTACAAGATTGCCATTGTCATCAATACTCCAACAACCATGAACAACCAATTTTGAAGCTCTTAATGCCTCCAAATTCCATTTACCCTTCTTCTTTCTCTATTCTCATGAACTAAACAACACATTACAACACATATCTCTCACTTTCTCTCCACAATGAGCTAAAAAAACCCAAGATTTTGA